CATCCAGCCAGTTTTTTTACCCAACAAAGAGTACACCTGTCTAATCCATGAGCTTCTCCAGGAGAATGCTGTGGGAGATGGTGTCAAAGGCTTTGCTAAAGTCCAGGTAGAAAACATCCATAGCCTTTCCCTCAACCACTCGGTGGGTCGCTCTGTAGATTTGCACAGGACTTAAATTCTTTTGAGTATTACCATTCATCATTACGCTATCCATAGAGTGTATTTATAGTGTCCTATAGATTTGTAAGGTGCACACCTGGGAGTGGAATTTTAAATTCCTGAATTTCGCACAGAGCCTAGCCCTACAACAGTTTAAGGAAACTACAGTAACATGGCTTTTAAAAAGCAAAAAGTATTGACTTGCCCCTTGTGTTATACAATCTGTGTGGATTGCTTGTTACATGCAAAAAAAAAAAATCCCAGTACAAGTAAGTGTGCAGGCAGAAGTTTGCAGTAAGAGGCTAATGGAAGATACGGAGACACAATGAATTAATTGGGCATTGGAAGGTGTTGGGGGTAACTTTTCAAGCATTGTTTAAGTCCCTCTGCCAATTTTACTTATTTAGTCTGTAAAAGCTATCGGCTCGGGGAATTTGGGTAGAGGCAGCTAGCTACAGGGTATCGATTCAAACAACTGAGCATTCTGAACTTCCTCACTGCATTAACTGCTTCTTCCTCTGACCCACTCCTACTTGGGGATGTTTGATGTGCCATGCAGCTCCATACCTCTCACCATTTAATCCTGTGTGTGCAGAGATTTATCTCACTTGCTCTTTCGATTGAAGGTTCTTGTGATTTTGTGAGAGTTGAGTTTAATTTTGCCTGAAAACCAGGAATATAATCTATACTTTTCTCCTTCCCATCCAGTCTATGGTGCTGCTCCTTCACAGCCAGAGACAGTACATCTTTGAGTTTGATAAGAATGACCGGTTGTCATCGGTGACCATGCCCAACGTTGCCCGTCAGACTTTAGAAACCATTCGTTCCATTGGTTACTACAGGAACATCTACCGACCACCAGAAGGCAACGCCTCAGTAATTCAGGATTTCACAGAGGATGAACAGCTCCTCCACACTTTGTACTTGGGGACAGGGAGACGTGTCATCTACAAGTATGGAAAGTTGTCCAAGTTAGCTGAGATGCTCTACGACACCACAAAGATCAGTTTCACCTATGATGAAACTGCTGGCATGCTGAAGACAATAAATTTGCAGAATGAAGGGTTCACATGTACAATCAGATACAGACAGATAGGACCCCTCATTGATAGACAGATTTTCCGCTTCACTGAGGAAGGCATGGTGAATGCACGCTTTGACTATAATTATGACAACAGCTTTCGGGTGACCAGCATGCAAGCGGTCATCAACGAGACACCTTTACCCATTGATCTCTACAGGTACGATGATGTGTCAGGCAAAACTGAGCAATTTGGTAAATTTGGAGTAATTTACTACGATATTAACCAGATTATCACCACTGCTGTCATGACTCACACTAAACATTTTGATGCCTATGGCAGGATGAAGGAGGTCCAGTACGAGATATTCCGGTCACTGATGTACTGGATGACTGTGCAGTATGACAACATGGGGAGAGTGGTTAAGAAAGAGTTGAAGGTTGGCCCTTACGCAAACACAACTAGGTACTCATATGAGTATGATGCTGATGGGCAGTTACAGACAGTGTCTATCAATGACAAACCACTCTGGCGTTACAGCTATGACCTAAACGGAAACCTCCATTTGTTGAGTCCGGGGAATAGTGCCCGCCTTACACCGCTCAGGTACGACCTCAGGGATAGGATTACTAGACTGGGGGATGTGCAGTACAAAATGGATGACGATGGCTTCCTGAAGCAAAGAGGCAATGATATTTTTGAGTACAATTCAGCTGGCCTGCTCATCAAAGCCTACAATAAAGCTAGTGGGTGGAGTGTGAAATACCGTTATGATGGTCTAGGAAGGAGAGTCTCCAGCAAAACCAGCCATGGCCATCACTTGCAGTTCTTCTATGCAGACCTGACCAGCCCAACCAAGGTCACCCATTTATACAACCACTCGAGCTCTGAGATCACCTCCCTCTACTATGACCTCCAAGGCCACCTCTTTGCAATGGAGCTCAGCAGCGGCGACGAATTCTACATAGCCTGTGATAATATTGGCACTCCTTTGGCTGTCTTCAGTGGGACTGGCTTAATGATTAAGCAGATACTGTACACAGCATATGGGGAGATCTATATGGACACGAATCCCAACTTCCAGATCATCATTGGCTACCACGGAGGACTGTATGACCCCCTCACAAAGCTTATCCACATGGGACGGAGAGACTATGATGTGCTAGCGGGTCGGTGGACAAGTCCAGACCATGACATGTGGAAGCATCTGCGTAGCAATAACATAATGCCTTTCAACTTGTATATGTTCAAAAACAACAATCCCATTAGCAACTCTCAGGATATCAAATGTTACATGACAGGTAAGACATTTAAATTAATTAACATATTCATCAGCTTGCCATCAGTGAATAGGTTTCTTCTCTCTCAGTATCCTGGTCACCATGAGGTTTTCCAGTGTTTAATATAACAGACGCAAGCTTTTCTTTGCCAGTTGACCCTTATGGCCCAAGGTATATTTAATTCATTAGCATAGATGGAGATTGTAATTCCCAAACCTGTTTTCTTTTCTCTTCCTTGGTGTTTGTTCTCTTTATTTCACTTCCAGTTTTTCGTTCCCCCGGATATGCCAGGTTTAGCTGCCAATTAATGTCCTGATAACCTTTCTCTTTGTAGAGGGGCAGCTCTGTTTACACAGTTTTGCCTAGAGATTTGTTTGCAACTAAACAAATGACATGCAGACTTGTTTTAGCAGAATGGCAACAGCAACTTAAACTTTTGATTACAGTCAACCATTTCAGAGCACACTACACTAACCATGTCGTTCAAAGTTAATCTGCCCCACAGAATTAGCAGTGTCTACTAACAGTCCATAATAACAGGTGCGTTAGACATGAAGGCCAGATTTTAGGGCATACCTACCCCACAACTTGACATAACCTCGAACTGCTTCCCCTGGGACTGCATAAAATGGCAATAACATGAGCTCTATGTATGTTTTTTATACAGAAAATCATTCTGTAGGTTAAATGTCCTTCCTATGTTCATACTTTGTGCAACACTGGTAGCAGTGTTTGAGAGGACTGTTTTGGTGGGACTCTTTTTCTATATACTTCCCATTGGAAAACTAGGTGACACAATCAGAAATCAAATGTCTATGCTTCTTAAGGAGAGACAGATAATTTTGTAATGCCTCTGCTGCATCTATCACAACTTTCCCATATGCAACAATATTTGCATTTCCCTAAGTGATGAGATTGGCTTAATAGCAAAAAATGTTACAAAATAAAAATCCTGCATTGTGCTATTTCACTTGTTTTTCTAGCCATTAGGATTCGTGCTTTCAGGTTCTTCTGCAATAATCGTAAGGATTAGATTGTTTGGGTTTTTTTTAATGAAAAGCTGTTTTCTCCAGAGCTGAGAAGATGATGCCATGAGGGAAGTAAAATATGCCAAAAGATGCAGACTAAGATCCTGTGTGTTGGCCTCACTCTAATAATTAAGGCTGGCAGGGGATACTTCAGGATAACTTCTCTTACCAGAAAATGCTCGCTCATTTGTCAAAACTGAATTTGTTTATGGGAGAGGGTTGAGCTTGAAAGATTTCTCCACAGAAATGTTGTAAACAGCTCTCAAAATTGTCTAAATGACAAATCCCAAAATAGCCTAAAACAAAAATTCCTTTTTGGTTTTCAACCTTTTCAAGTTAAGTGTAAACTAATGATTGAAAACCGGAAAAGAAAAATTAAGGAGTCGAAACCAAAATGGAAGATCTTAATTTGAAATTGTTGTCTTGAACTGATTTAGTTTTTTAACAGTTTCTTCATGACATATTAACGGATTTTTATTTTCCTGCTCAAATTAAGACAGGACAAAATTTCCAGTCCTGTCTTGGAAGAGGTGAACAGCTTCCCACCCAGCTCTGGCGATAAAATCAAGGTGTCCAAATCTGAGCCTTTAATATTTTATATGCACCAAATAACTTTTTCCATGGTCTTAAAAGTTCTGTTTTCAGTCTTTCAAGGATACAAAGCCCAAATGCGTTTTTTAAGTTTCTCCTCTCCCCGTGCATGGAAGAAACAGGTCACGTTACGAGGTGAGCGCCGTGATGCAAGGCTGCTGCTTGGGCATTTCTTTCTGCTGAAGCTTTCAGGCGCCTCGTGGGCAGGACCCACGTGGACGATGAGCGTGTCCTTGTCATCGCAACCGAATCTGCCCAGGCGCGGGCACGGGGAACCACTCTCTGTCCCTCCATGACCACCCTGCGACCCGCTGTCCTTAGGGGAGCTCAGCACCCAGGACATGGGCCAACGACACATGCTTTGGTCTCCAACGATGAGGTTTCTGAGCTTGTGGGTACAAGTTAGAGGCGTACAGAGGGGAGAGCAGGAGAAGCAGGTATTTGTGTTTTGAGAGGCCCATTGTTAAACATGAATATTTTAGCGATTGTACACTTCATGGCGCAGAGCTTTGCTGCCAGCTTCAGCAATCCTGATGGATTGAACTGACATTTCCATTACATGTGTCTGCATTAAGCACTCTTTTTCTTTGCCCTCAAATGAATTTACTGTGAAATGTGTTGGCAGGGTTACTGTAGCTGAAAAAAAACTCTGTGATGTGAAATGTACTTTTCTGTCAAAAAAGTTGTCACTGCCTCTTGGCAAATTAATGTTTTCCCCTCTGTTTTCTCAGCTCCACACCTTCCTCTCATGTTTTTGGGGGTTGGATTTTTTTTTTTTTTTCTGGATATTCCGACACCTCTTCCCAAAAAGCACAAACTCTTGTTTGCAAATGTTTTGAAAGTCAGTTTTCTGAGAAGTAGCAAAAAAAGACTGTCTTGAATCTTTCCAGACATGTTACATATTTTTCTGCTCTTCAGCATCCTTGCTCTGTATCCTTTTTAACATTTGTGAAGTGCTTGGAAAATGGTTCCTGCACCAATGCCGACCTTCACTGTTTTACTTTGTTCTCCTGACCACCTGGTCTACGATATGTACATCAAAGGTCTTCATTTCACATGAGGAGGATTTGGAAGCAGACTGGCTTAGCGCTAAGCAAAAAAATAATCAAATGAGCCTTTTAATTTCTTTCCCTCCCTCCAACCTCTCTGTTTCAAAGACACTCCAAAAACAATCTGTAGATTGAGTGAACAGAAGTGTTTTTATTACAGAAATCCTCCCCCTTCCACATGGATTGTCGCAAGGGCTTTTTGGACATCTGCCCAATCTCAACATTTTGGCCTGTAAGAAAACAAGCAACAGATAGTGTGTGTGTTTGGCTCCTGGTTCTCCAGTCGTCTGGAAGTGGTTTATTTGCCGCTTGCATCCGTAATTTCTTTTCTGACCAGCTCTTCAAAACAGTCATTTATGCTCATGGGGAATAGAGAAAAAGCATTCAAAGATGCATATTTGAGTCTTTAAGTTGATCCCTTTTTCAGACTGTTTCAACAACATTTATTGAATTTAGCAAAATGAAAATCAAGCCCGTTGCACGTCCAGCTCGAAGCAGAGCAACCACCAACACAATCCCAGTTACATCCAAAACACTTAAGACCCTTAGGAGATGATATTAGTTAAACTTTACCTTCATATGTTTCTTTTTCTTGCAGTTACTATTTGTGTGCCAAATGCACACCATATTGCTTGGGGGTTGTAGCAGGTGTGTCCTTCTCTAGAGTTCGGTGAAGGCAAACAAGGTGAGATCACCAAATGCTCTGACGTTAAGGGGGGAAGTGATGCTGATCCCAAGCAGATCTAGGAGCTAGCCAGCCTCGTCATTATTTCCTCCAGCGGATTAATGTTCAGCTGCTATTCCTAATAGCTGTGCAATCAAAAATCAGGGAAGACTTTGTAGTCTGTACTGTCAAGTGAATGCAGGAATGATGTTTGGACTAGACGACCTTTAAAGGTCCTTTCCAACCCAAATGGCTGGGTTTTCCATCATGTCCCCTTTAGTGCCAGTGGTCCTCCTTTTGCATAGGACAATAGTTTGTCGCTTATAGCCCTCAGTTTTCTCACCACCCATGGACTTCTAAGAGGTTTGTGAAAAGTACCCAAGCAAAGTAGTCTTGTATCCGTACGCTTATTTTTACTATAATGTACCTTGTCAGGTTATGTGGAGGATTTTAAGTGTCGCTATAAAAGATGATGTGTGACTTTACACTGGTTTAATACTCAGACTTATGAAAAATGCCAAGAAACTTAGGACTGAGGTGGAAATGCCATGGAACAAGCAGAGGATATGTCCAGAGCCTCTTCTATGAGCACCTGCTAAATGACCATGCTGTTCATCCTGGATGTCCTGGTATGCTGGCTCACATAGCTCTAAATTTATCCTTCAGCCTGCCGGTCCTTTGAGAGTCCTCAGGAAGAGAAGTACTGTGGCTGAGGTGTTCAGAGCTGACTGTAGGACTGGACAACATCTCCCATTCAGCCGGAGCATCTCCACCTCCGTTAGTGTATTGTTCCTGTGCTTCTCCTGCATACCTTGGAGCAGTGCCTGGTTCCTGC